ATAGATAGATAGATAGATAGATAGATAGATAGATAGATAGATAGATAGATAGATAGATAGATATTGATATTGTCAATATATCATGTACTATAGGAAGCATACTCTAGGTGAGGTAAAGGGAACCTTGCTTTTAAAAAATTCTAATTCTTATGTCTGCGTGAAATGGCTTTTCTGTAACAAATATGTCACATTGATCTAGACCTCCATAGCATTGTAATTTGAGATAGTGCCTTCATTTGGAAAATCAAGCAATTCCACTTTGATGCCTCAAAGTTAAAGGGTTGAGGTGATCCAACTTGATGAGACCAGGTACTATCACGGGAAGAGGCCTCTCTGCATGCATAGCATGTGTCCCCCAATCATTTTGACTTCCTGTTTGGGTAGCCAATCCAATGGCTGTTCCCTTTGACACAGCTTCCCCTTTGACTTTGTTTTGAAAGGGTTTTCGGTAGTGCCTCAACATCAATGCAGGTATATATACTCCTAAATAAATATTGCCACTAAAATCAGTAGGTCTGATGAATTTGTTAAGAAAGTAATGTTTTAATTCTTGGAATAATAGTAGATTATTTAGGGACAGGCTAGATTATTAGTTCTAGTTCTTAGAGGGTTAATGGGTTACACTATGTAGCACTCTTAAGATATGTGTAGTTGACTTTGAGATGGTGGGTTATAAGTCATAGAACAGTTTTAATATAAGCATTTTAAAAGAAAGGAATGGCTACATTTTAGCAAGTTTCCATTGTGATATTGAGACTACAGGTATAAAGAGAGGTCGAAGCATCCTTAAATAACAACGAGAACAATTTGACATTATTGAAAGTGATGTACATGACAAAGAAATTGGATTTAAACATTTTGTAAAGGACCCTCTTAAGATGATAAAAGTTATTACTTTGCATTCCTTAAAATGTGTGATCCTCTGGCAATTCTTATTATACGTATAATAATGCATTTTGCTTCCTTTATTTCATGCCACTGATGTCCCTTAGATGGTAAGGATTATACATGCTTTTCCTTGCTTTCATCTGCAGTGGGTCCTAGGGAAGCCCCTATTTATTCTGCTGCCTATGTCTTTGGGTCCTGCTCCCAAGTCCTGACCTGATGATCCCACTGATTATGAGCCTGCCCAAGTCATTTATCTGGTACCTTCAGTGGGGGAAGTCTTGAGTCTCCTGCAGAGCCCGTTGACATCTGTGTAGCTCTCCTGGACTTTCTGGAGAGCTTCAGGCCCACGCAACTCCATAAGGGAGCGCAGCTCCGACAGGGTGCAGCCAAAACCACCTGCATGGTTCATTTCTCGCCGCTGGTTTTTGGGATAAAAATCCACTGCGCTGTTGGCCATTTCTCCCATGTTGGAAGTGAGCCGCAGCCCAGCTGGGTACACTGGGCAGAGGTGTGGGGGATGAAGAGTAGACTTGAGCTAGGTTAGTCTGGTAGACGGAAGGAAAAACCTGTGAGGAGGGAAACAGAGAAAGGCATACATTGGCCAGAAAGAAAATATCATCTATGCAAAGAATGTCCACACCCGCTGTTTTTGGGTTGCAAATTCTTCTTGCTTACCTGCTCAGTCGCGGCTGTCTCCTGGATTCATTCTATAGAGCCTCAGGGGTGGGGCCACAAGGTTTTCTAGAGGCCAGCCAGCCAGGGGGCCAAGCCATGGAAGAGGCAGAGACGAAGGCCTTCTTAGGGTTTGGCACAAGGGGTTTTCCTGCTGCCCAAAGGAAACCTGTTGGAAAAGCAACAGTTGTAATCAAGCTCCTGCCATTCATTCACGTCAGCAAAGCCTGAAGCTCTCAGGTCAACCAATGTCTGCAATGACACATAGAAATAAGTCAGGAATGTATAACTTCCTTCAGCACAATGGCTACACTAGACCTAAGGCAGGGACGTGCAGTCACTAGAGGCAAGGGAGGCGTGGCCTCACCAGTCATGAGGAAAAGAAAAAGAATTTTAAAGAATTTTTTTTNACACACACACACACTGACAGACACACACACTGAACCAGTGAGATCAAAAAGATTTGGAACAGATCCCCAGAGGACGAAAGGCTCTCGAGCGGCTTACCCAGAGATGTTGTTGAAGCTGAGGAAGAGACGCTGCAGGCTGGGCAGGGTATCCGCATCTTTCTAAAAGGAGACGGGAGGAAGAGTCGGCGGCAGCTGGGGGGGCAGCACTCCCGAGGAGGAGGCAACCGTGCCCCCACCCCACCCCTTCCCTCCTTTCTCTACCCACTTCCTGCAGCCCTGGTGGGAGGAGACTTGCGTGGCGCAGGTCGGAATGAAGGCAGAGCCCTCTTTGAGGAGGTGGGGGGGGAGAAAGAAAACCCCCGCTGTGCGGCTTGCGACAGGGTGAAGGTGGCGGAGGAGAGAGAGGGGTGGGGAGGCTGGCCGGGGTGCCAGACACAGCAGCTGCTCTCTGTCTGCTTGAAAGCCGGCCGGCTGGCTTCTCTCTCTCTCTCTCTCTCTCTGGTGCTGTCTCAGCATTTGAGGAGGGGGGGAAGCACAGTGGTGCGCAAGGAGGAAGGGAGAGTGCCGCAATGAACAGCAGGCAAAATAAAACAGGGCTGGAGAGCCATGTGGCTCTTCCTGCATCAAACTGCTAAGTCATGCAGGCAGCCTTCCTACCAGCCCGGCGTGACGGCAAGAGACGGGGCTTTTAAGCCATTGATGGCCGTTTCCCTTTGTTAGGGAACAGAGTCAGGGAGGGGGAAGAAGAAACGGATCGTTTCTGATTTTGCAAAAGGGAAAAAGACTTAAAAAAACTGTGTTGTGAGGAGTGGGAGGGGGGTGGGAGAAGAATTAACAGACCTTGGAGGTCTTCTAGTCCACCCCCCCCTGCTCAAGCAGGAAACCCTACAATATTGTCTGATCTCTTCTTAAAAACCTCCAGGGTTTGAGAGCAGAAACGTCTTGCAAATTGCTAAATATCTACGGAGATTTCTCTGTCATCCAGGCCATCCTTTTTTTTTTCAAGAGGCCGCTGGACTTTCTGGTTTTTCTTTGAAGGTACGTTTCGCTTCCCATCCAAGAAGCTTCCCCAGCTCTGAGCCCGAGGACACCGATAAACCTCCAGGTGGCCTCCAGGACTCCTATCGAAAAGGATTGAGAAACGACAGGCTGTCTGCAAGGAATTATCAATCTTTCCATTCCTCACCATCCAGTCAAAGCCGGAGAACGTCTCGGAAACTTCTTCAAAGAAAAAAACCAGAGAGTCCAATTGCCTTTGGGGACTACGGATCAGGCTGTCTTGGAGACAAGGGGCATTTTCTTCTTCCCTCTGGTGTTGATTGATTGATTTGATTTATTACATTTGTATGCCGCCCTTTTCCNTAGATAGATAGATAGATAGATAGATAGATAGATAGATAGATAGATAGATAGATAGATAGATAGATCGAGCAATAGCAATAGCAGTTAGACTTATATACCGCTTCATAGGGCTTTCAGCCCTCTCTAAGCGGTTTACAGAGTCAGCATATTGCCCCCAACGTCTGGGTTCCCATTTTACCCACCTCGGAAGGATGGAAGGCTGAGTCAACCCTGAGCCGGTGAGATTTGAACAGCCGAACTGCAGAACTGCAGTCAGCTGAAGTAGACTGCAGTGCTGCATTTAACCACTGCGCCACCTCGGCTCTATTGATAATATTGTACATATTATATAACACCTAGTCTTCTTGCAAAGTAAGAAGACCCAAATGTCAACATAGAAGTCCTCAAAATGACCAAGTCACAAATTAAAGGGAGAACCAATTTTAATAAATATTTTAGCTCAACCTTTCCAAGAAATGAAGAGTTTAGCTGTCTTTCATGTAATTTGTTGGGCCAGCTCTAAATTGCCTATATCATTTCTATTTTCCAGGGCATGCATAGAGAATGCATAATAAGAGGAAATCAAATGCATGCAGAGAAAGAGATGGATTTAAAAGGGACCATTGTCTTACAAGTCTGAACAAATCTCACTACCTTTGGAGCAATGCCTGCAGCTATGTCACTTTCTTTGCAGGTCTCACACCAAGAAAATAATCAAATAGTTACTCTGTTTTTTACTGGAATCCTCATAGAATCAGATAAAAGTTAAAGCTGTTTATAATATGATCCAATTACAACTTCTCGATGCCATCATCTGTGCTGATTGGAAATTCTGGAGAATGGGTAGATCAAATTTCCGAACATGATGATCTTGAAAAATGGAAGGAAAGCTCTAGTATAGAAGTCTTGAAACATCTCGCATAGACTTCTAAAAAGCAATGATCGATAAAATCTTGGAAAAGATAGCTACGTATAGACTTACTCAACCAGTATATCAAGAAATTCCAGCTTTCTTTATTCATGTCACAAGCACCTTCAAATTACTACCATATAACATTCAACACTGAGCAAATGAAATAGTTCATAAAAATATAGCAAATGTAAAAAAAAAAACAGTATATAAAATAAGTAGGATAAGAGCCTTGGTGGCGGCACTGTGGTTAGAATGCAGTATTGCAGGCTAATTCTGCTGACTGCTGGTTGCCAACAGTTTGGCAGTTCAATTCTTACCAGCTCAAGGTTGACTCAGCCTTCCATCCTTCCAAGGTCAGTAAAATGAAGATCCAGATTGTTGGGGGCAATAGGCTGACTCTGTAAACTTTACATGTTGAAGGACATTGTATGCACTATAGGAGATGTGAGATTAATTGTTGTTCTCCATACAAAAATACACAGGGTATTTTTCATTGGGAAGGCTCATTTTTTTTATATTGTCCTTTGATCTTCCTGCTCCGGTGAACAATCCATTTAACAATTTCCTACTTTCATAGTTCCCATGCAGTTTATGGCATCTGGTTGTTAGGAGGAATGGACACTGTGAGGAAGCTTTTCCTCCGTCTCAATCTTGACCTTGGAGGTTGCATGGCTGTATAATAGGTGTGTTTTTGTGGACATGACCTCTTATATAGCTATCAACCTCCAAGGTCAAGACTGAGATTTTCTAGCTTAAAGAAAAACATGCAATATAAAACACTATGGGCTTCTACTTATGTCTTATTTATAAGTTGTTGACCTTCTAACCATACTCCAATAAAATACAACATTTATGATTATCATCCTTTTTGTATAATTTATGTCACCAAACTTTCTCAATAATTAACTAGGTTCTCTCTTGTATAGTGTTTCTCAGCCTTAGCAACGTTGGATGAGTCAACTTCAATTCCCAGAAATTTTTTTAGCAAGGCAGGCTGGGGAACTCTTCAAATTGAATTCCCACTCAACTTGCTAAAGTTGAGAAACATACGTCTCTAGTATATACACATAAACAATTAGGTATACACTGCTTTTTTTAAAAAAAAAATTATTATCAGGAAACAAGCACATGACTCATGTTAAGATAAAGTTGATGCCACTTTATAATGAAAGTTTCTCAATAGCATATATAGTATATAGTTTGGATATTTCATATAATATACTTAAAAGAAAAAATGTTAAATTTCACTCTGCACTATTTTCACAGTTTTATAACCTGAATTTTTTTTTCTTTCTTTCAAAGGGTTATGGGAAAAGATTTGGCAGAATGTTTTGATGATAGATAGATAGATAGATAGATAGATAGATAGATAGATAGATAGATAGATAGATNCATCATCTATCTCCAATCTGCAACACAGTCCTTCTAATGTTTCCAAGAAGGCTCCACACCCATATGCACCACTCAGGTGCACACCTTCTCTACATGCACTTTGCTCATACGTGCAGCTTGCATGCATGCACGCGGCTTAGAAAACGTGGCTAAATAGGATGGCATAGAGCCACCCACACCTCAGGTCGTCATTACCGGTTTGCCCAAACCGGTCCGAAGTGGCTGAATACCACCACTGCTCCCAACTCTGTTATTCTGTTTTTGAATGACAACCAGTCTAGGAAAAGGCCAGGCCCACATCAAAAAGGTGAAGTGTGACTTTTTTTAGAAAAAGTTTTTTCTATTTTTTATTCTCTTACATACAATTGTAGGTATACATTCACATAGTTATTTTTCTTCTTTACATTTGTCATTCTTGTACATGTGTTATTCCATTTGAAAGGTTGTGATATACAGTTTGGGTTGCTGTGTTTATCATCCCATCCACCTATTTTAATACCACCTTATTTTCCTTTTCTTTTCTCCCTCCCTCCCTTCTCAACTTCCTTCCTTCCTCCTTTCCCTTCCTTCTTCCCTTCCCTCTCACCTATTCCTACTCTTCCCCTTCCTCCCCTCTCTCCTTCTCTCTCTCTCCCTTCCATCTTCCTCTCCTTACCTCTTTCTTCCATCCCTCCTCTTCCTCTCGTCTCCTCTCCTCTCTTTCTTTCTCTTTCTGTTGTTGTAGGTGTCTTTTTAAAGCTCTCAATTTATGAAGGCGGGGTGTGACTTGTTGTAGGCTTTAGAAATCACCAAAGCGACATAGAGACGTTTCCTTCTCTCTCTGGAAAGAGCTTCGGGAAACGCTAGGCTAATTTATCTTTGCAACGTGTGCTTTTGCTCTCTGCCGCTCTCACCGTAATGACTAAAGGGCTCTGACAGGTTCAGCAGAATATGATTATTACTAAAGCTATTATGAAAAGTTCCAATATTCATATTATGCTGTCAAAGTCCCAATGGAGACAGGCAGCAGAATGGCAGCCAAATTAGATGGCTGCTCGGCTCGGGGCAGGGAGACAAAGAAAGGAAAATGCAAAACTGATTTTTAAAGAACAATCTC